ACTCTTGTATGAAGATGGTATTGAAGTTTGATGGGTATCCCAAGCACTTTTGAATCTTCGACAGATCTAGTATCACCACCCGAATCTCTGCTTTGAGACACACTCCGAACTCTTTCAGCACAAATAGAAGGACCAAATGCTGAGTAGAGTTATAGGTACTCCCAGAGTACCCTTGCTAACAGAGAAGCAAGGGAAGCAAGAGTGATGCCACCTCACATGCTTAGTCTCCCCACCCCAGAACACAGCTGTCCCCAGTATTCTGTTTATCTTGGAGGGCATATAAATTAAGGCAAGAAATTTCACCCATTTGTAGAAAGAGGTGGCATGGAATTTGTTTCTGCCGTTCTGATTTGCCAAGGCAAAAAGCTAGGCTCTCTGTCCTTCTGTGCTGTGGTTGCCCTCTTGGTCAGAGTGTGGAGACGAGGAATATTGTTTGATTGCCTTGGAAGTGCAAGGATGGAATTCCTGTTATGTAGCACTGACTGCTATGGAATTGACTTCATATAAATCCCTGACGATTATAAGTGTGTTCAAGCATTCCCAAAGCTACCTATCATCTTCTGCTATCTGGGAAGGACAGCTTCATGTATGGGACATCATGGGGCATCACCTTTGCAGAGGGAACAGTATTCTTCTCAGTGATGATGCTGCATAACCAGTTTCAATCAGCTATATATAAGAGTGAGAGAGAAGAAACTGGCAATGGAGGAGTGGGTAGGGGGACAAGAACTAGCTGTAAACAGCCATTAAGAGAGTATCCAGAGACCACTAAAATAATCACAAATGTAAGTTACGTTCGACTCCACTCGATTCATCTCTCACTGCTTCTGTTTGTAATATATAAGCAAAGCCCATGGGCACTACCATTCTGTACCTTGCCATCACAGCTCTGGCAAATAGGGGTGCAGTAGAAATTAAGTTAGAATAGACACCTGGCTATTGGAGAAATAGACAGAGGCTTAAAATGCCATTGAAAGAAAGAGCCTGCCTCCCCAAATAATAACAAAGTGGAGAATGGATTTAATTCTCAAGAATGATGGCCACCTCTTCTCCTTTTACTCCATCAATTAATTGCATGTACAAGTGGAGGCAGCAGACTGGTCTACATGGATGAAAGTTAGAAACATGGCAACTGGTACAGAAGATCCCTTCATTTACATAGATGTTCTTATTTAAACAACGAAGAGGGCACCAGTAATGTTCTTAATCTGACACATGTTATGTGACCATGGAAAGCTGCCAGATGGGTGGGGATCCCTTTCCACCTTCACCTGTTTGGCAAGAAAAGTGAGAATTACAGAACCATGAGAGTTGGGGATGCTTTTTACCCTACAGAGATGGAATCCACACACTAGTTTTTCATTCCTGCCAGATAGCAGCTACTATCCTTTCTTGGAGTGAGATACTGGTCTTTTGGTGTAGCTCCCCTCTCCCCATGTATCGCCATTCATCCAGCTGTAATTTGAGTGGAACATCTGGTTAAAACACTCTTCATCAGAGACCTGCAGTTTAACAAGCCAAGCCAGCTTAGCTTCAGCAGCAAATTCCATTGAATTTCTTTGGAAAATTGCCATAGGTAAAAGATTTGGCTTTTTAATACGTAGATAGTTTAATGACTAACCTATTTGTAATACTCACAGCCTTCCTGAATCTGAGAATTTTGCCCCAACCTTCTTGGATTGCACCAGCTATTATTACCCAAAGTGTGTGTCTTCGAGAATTTCAGGAAATCTAGAGTTAATTCCTTCCCACAACACTTAGCATAGAGAAATATTTTGTTAACTGATATATTCCTATATTTTGCAGACATACTGTATGTGACATACTGTATATATACATTAAATAGTTGTGCTCTTCCTTAGTGAGATGTTAATAAGGACCATCAAACCTTGCTGCGATTGCATTTGTTTACTGAACTACACTGTTATGTGTTGATGCATGCATAATAAGCCAGTTTACACTCAGAATCGAAGCTGTGACATTTGGTACAATATAAACTGTTCTTTTAAGGAAGTTTCAGCTGCACTGTTATTGCAAGCTATATATCCATTTTGCAGAACCTTAGTAAAAGCAACCGGAAAACTCAATGATCAAGCTAACTTCCATCAAATATTTCCAGACTTCCCCAATCATACTTCCTCACTCATTACTATAAATTTAGTTACCTTTGTGTTATCATAATGCTCTGAAACATAGGATTTCTTCCTTTTGGATCCTGAAATATTTCTTGTGCATAATTGGTGGATTTTAAAAATAAATAACTTTTTTCTCCTAGAGTGGTTCTAGAAGGGAACTTTGCTTTGCTTGCTTCATGTACTTTTTAACTGTTGTTATTTTTAGAACACACCCGTGGGAACTCCAATTTTCATAGTGAATGCCACAGATCCAGATCAGGGTGCTGGTGGAAGTGTGCTTTATTCTTTCCAGCCTCCATCCAACTTCTTTGCCATTGACAGTGGCCGTGGGATTGTGTCAGTCATCCGAGAACTGGATTATGAAGTCACACAGGCCTATCAGCTTCAGGTTAATGCTACAGTGAGTATATCTTTCTGTTTCTCACGCCTTTTTCAAATCTGGTAACCTCTACATTGTTGGATATCTTCCCCAGTGTAGACCAACACTCTGAAGAACAACAACATATGGAAAGCTGTCCTAGAAAACTTTGATGGTCTGTAGAAAAGAACATAGAACTTAACATTAATGGTCAATAGAGATGGGGGTATTCATATTCATATATAAATATAAATATCCCCCCACAGGTGTAGATAACGATGGGGCCATCCCCCTGGGGCCAACCTGAACACTCACGATTCCACCGCTGCTGTGAACTCCACGGTGCCTTCCTATCACTCCATTGCTCACAGTGGATTAGCCAGTCCTGGCAGAAGGCAGGATGATGAGCGTCTCTGCTAGGTCGTAGAGTGGCTAATCCATCACAAGCAACAAAGAGGTAGGAAGGCACTGTGGAGTTCACAGCAGCAGTAGAATCGTGAGTGGTCGGTCTGGCCCCAGGGAGCCGGACCCTCCTTATCTGCACCTGTGGGGGGGGATATTTGTACAGTATATGAATACAAATGCCCCCATCTCTAATGGTCAAACGTGGACCAAATCATGTTGTGGATTTACCATAGTATAAGAGTAATTGTGTAAATGATGGTGGTGAATTGCCACTAATTAATGAGTTACTACTTGCATTCATGGTTACGTTCCAGTCACCCAATTTGACACATGACTAGGAATGCAAATGGTAACTCATTAATTAGTGACAATTCACCACCATCATTTACACAATTATACTGTGGTAAATCCACAACAGGATTTGGTCCATGATTGACCATTAGAGGTGGGGGCAACTTGTTAATTAGCAGCATTTCAGCACCACAGTTTATGCAATTCCAAGAATCTACAATAAAATTCTTGCTGGCCCTTATTTTTTCCTATAGATTTCTCATAAATAATTCTATATTGGGCTATGTGCTGTGCACACAGCTTTTCTTCCATGGATGCTAGAAAGTAAAAAGTTTTAGTTAAGTAACTAACTGTCCACAGGTGCCAAAGCTGCAGTAACAGCAGGAATGGTTATTGTGGTGATGATGATAACAGTGGTGATAATAGTAATAGATATGAAATCTGGAAACCAACTGTTATGCTGAATAATAAAATCAGAACAGAACTTGCTTGAAAGCTTTTCATTTAATTATCATATCTGAAGTAGCAGTTAGCCTTATAGGACCTGAAAATCAGAGCTTAATTCAAGCAAATGCAACTTGTTTTCCTTTTGGACTCAGCCCATGGAACATGTGAGATGCCAAGTCAAAGCTTGGGAAGTTAAGAAGAACAATGTAATGCTGAAGCTACTTATAAGCTTCAGCAGTGAGCAAGAATGGAATGGTGCTCTCAGAGAATCAGAAGTATTCCATTCCCTGAGATTTCAGGGCTGAAATCTGTGACTATACAGAGAGGCCTTTGTGATTTCACAGAGGTGAGGCAGACAAGGTTTGGAAGTGTGCCAACACTGTGTCAGCCAGCAATGAGCACAAGGTACTCCAGTCTCTCCCTTGCTACAGATTGCATAATCTGCCCAGATGCATGCATCTACCATCTCTTTTTCTAATGCCCTTCCTTTTTTCCTGTGTTTTTTGGCTCACTGATGTTATGCAAGCACAACACACATACAGATCCCTTCACACTGAGGCAGTGAGCCCTGGTGCTAGCAGGGAGTAAGTGATGTGCGTCCAAACCTTAAAGTTGGCAACACAAAAAAATTAAATGTTCAGGTCCTCTCACTTTGAGATTTATCTGCCTTCTTGGAGACCCAAGGCATAACAATTCCCTGAGAGTTCACTGAGCACTGGAAGACACTGGCAACTTTTGTGCTCTGGGACCCAGTGCATCATGCTATCATGGTAACTTTTGCATGTTCTGATCAGGAGATATGCAAAATGCCTTCTACGTCCCACCAGCTAAGCATAATAAACCTATACTCATCTTATGAAGAGGTCACGGTATATGGCAGGGAGGATGATTTCAACAAGAGTTTGAAACAAAGCACTATAGTTCTTGATCTTTTGCTTAGAGAGAGGTGGCAGAGCTTTTCACATTTCGGATTGAGCCAAGGTTTTCTTTTATTTATAATTAATTTTCTTTCATTTTTTAAATAACTTTTTCAGGACCAGGATAAAACCAAGCCCCTCTCCACTCTGGCTAATCTTGCAATCACCATCACAGATGTACAAGATATGGACCCAGTCTTCATTAACCTGCCCTACAGCACAAACATCTACGAGAATTCTCCTCCCGTAAGATCTTTTAATATATTGTATCTTTAGAGGACTGAAAAAGCTGTTGGGAACTGCTACTACATATAGTCACTATCACCAAAACAAAACAAAAACTACTTCCAAAAAAACTGTGCTTTGATCAGGCATGTGCTCAGGAATGCAAGCAGCACTTTATTAATCAGCTGCAATTTGCCTCCAAGACTTAAGCAATTTCTCTTACTTGTGTATAAATCAGCAATAGGATTCTGGCTACTGTCACAGGAAAAGAACCACTGGTGAAAAAAATATTAGCTGGCCATACCTTCTAGCTGGGAGGTATGGCTGCAATAAATTTTGGACAGTATGACTTTCAGTGTTTGAGTGAAATTGTGGGGGGCAATATAGAAGAGAGGGAGGAAGGAGACAGAGCTATCAGGAGAACAATTTCCCCATTCGAAACCAGATGGTATTTGTCAAAGAGAAAACCATTGCAAGAAGAGTGGCCCAGTGATCTATATGTGTAAACCAAAGCCCTCTTCAGGCATTGTACTTGAAAGTACGAAGAGGCTACAAGGAGGCAGAGAGGTTGAAGCTCCATGTCTCCTCCACGCTCAGACGTTTGTCTGAAAAACAGGAAGGCCTGAGGTGGACTGTTTGACTGAACGTACAGAGCTGTTAAGATCAGCAACCCTGCATTATCAGGGTTCCTGAAAATGGGAGCCTTGCGAGCAATGTTCCACTCAAATATTCTTCAGACCCTTGAGCTTCTCGGAGAGATTTTTAAATGGGGTGGAAATCTGTGGAATGTGACATACATGTGTTCCACATACCCATCACCCTTGTAGTCCTCTTGATAGGTTCAAACGTAACGCTTAACCAAGGCTCAAATGCAGAAATACATGTGGGTGGTAGATGAAATATGCCATGCTGAAACTACCTTTGCTGTGGCATCTGAGAGATTTTGGCTCTCGCCCACAGAAAAATTCTTTTCCCTCCTTGATGAAAACTGTGTTAGGTGTTTAAACAATAAAGTACTTGATCAGAGCTTAAAAGACAGTGAGAATGGGAAGTCAGTGATTAATACAAATGGCTGTAGGAACTGCATGCAGATCATCCCAGACTATATTAAAGCTTTTCTTCAGATAAAATGGTATAAGAGAAGGGTGGTGGTGGTGGGAAATCCTGCTTAGTACATTAATAACAAGAGTGAAGAATGATATGGTATTACAGAAATGGAAATCCCCACTAGCATCTAAGATTATGGACTGGATCACCTTCATGGAGTGACCTTGTATCCACAAAAGAAATATCTCTCAAATTAAATGACAATATAATAGTGTCTGGAACTAAATGGTCCTTTTCTATTGACACTTGAAGTAACATACATAACAGTTAGTGTCAGAAGGCAGACTGTTTCACTGGACACGAAAAGGGGGCATGTGGCAGGACGGGGTATGGGAGAAAGATACCTAAAAGAGGATTTATGTCTCAGATGAAATATGACATTACTACTTTGTGCATATCCTAACAAACTTCCGGTTTGTTTACAGCAGACATAATGTCTCTTCTAAATTAATTTATCTGAGAAGCTGAATTGTGACCCAGTACATTGCCTTCTTTCTCCTTAGTATATGCAGCTTTTGCACTGATTGATTTTTACATCATGTTCTGTGTTGTCATTTGAGGTGTGTTATACAGGTAGATTTTCAGGAAAGGTCTTCTGCGTGACTGATAGCTTTAGAATGAACAATGACATGTATTTTTTCCTCTAGGGAACTGCCTGAGAAGTCAATAGAAATCACACAGGGACATAAAATTGTTTGTGCATGCTGACATTTGCCTCTGTTGTTCTCAGCTTGCCAGAAAAAAAAACTCATCAAAACATCAGTTATGAATTATTATTCTTATCCATCTTCCCTTTCAATATGCTCTGGATGCTGTCATACCTCCAAGAGATTTGCCTGGATCTCCCATCAGGACATTTTGCAGCTTAATTGATGCAGTGTTTCAGAGAAGGGTGGACCGATGTAAAACAATTCTAGAAATACTACGGAATGATTTTTCATGTGAATCATGAGGCTTTATTGGTCTCTTTATTTGAATAGGCAGGTAGAACTTATCCCTCACTCTCGTTTTAAGCATCGGTGAAATAGTTTGCTGTAAATTTTGTTCTGACCTAATCTGTATACCAGAGTATCTCAGTGTATTAAGAGAGAATATTGATTAAACATGAAAAAGAAGTATTTAAAGCACTGCTATGCTATTAACATTTTTGTTAGGGATATAAAGGGGAAAGCCTTTGGATCTCATTTATTTTTGGTTCTTTTGGGTGCTGCCAATATGTTTTTGGGAGTCTTTGTTTACCAGTCTTTTCATTAAACATGAAAGGGAACAAGTCTCTTTGATTCTCCCCCCCCCCCTTTCATGGTCATTGAGCTAAAAGGATAAATGGCAAGATACTGCTCTGCTCCTAGTTCCTTCTTTCTTGGCTTTCTGACCCAGCAACCACACGCTGCTGGTTTCACCACCACTGCTGTGGCCACCTTTCCTCGTCGGTGACAACTGCTATTGAGGACGAGGTGTGCTAATTTCAGTGCTCCATTTCTTAAGCCAAAACTGCTGCCCTCCACCACGGTCTCCCATAGCAAAGGAAATCTCCATTTCTTCCTCCTCCACCTCAGCAACATGATGCCATGGTGCCTCGAAACTGATACAATGGAAGAGCAAAGAGTGTTCACCCACCTCATAGTTTGCAAGGCAATACAAATTGTGAAAGCAAAGAAAGAGCAGCCCTCCTCCTTACTGGTTTCTAGTCAAACTAGACCCTTGGCAACTTCACAGTTCTCACTCTCATCCCTCCTGGATGTTCTAACTGGCTACTGAAAGCAGCCCTCGTGATGCTATTTGAAAGACAATTTGCCTGGGTGGTTTGACAGACATGGGTTGAAGGAAAGAAATGAAAGAAGGAAACACAGATAACACCCCCACTCCCCCCCAAAAAATCCCTTCCATATTCCTATCTTCCATTAACACAGATCCTTTATGTTTCAGAGGTTCTCTAAAGGGAATGGATGAAAGAAGATGAAAATGAAAGTAATAGATCTTTTTTTGTGTTTTCCCCCTTTTGTGTTAACTCAAAAGTTCCATTCCTAGTCTCTATCCTGTGTGCTATTTATTTACTACTAATTTGTGTCAGAACACGGATAGAAGGATTGTATAACGGCCTCCTTCCACCTCACAAAGGAAGGTCGCTACGTCACCACACTTCTACACTTCCGATAGTCTGCCATCAACCATTCCCTGAATTGAGTCACACAGACTGGAATGGATTTAAAAATAAAAGAACTAAATGTTTATTGATTGGTACACATGGATTGGTAAAACACAAATATCATGTAATCAGGTAACGAAAGGCTCAAGAAACACAGATAACACCCCCACTCCCCCCCCAAAAAAAATCCCGTCCATATTCCTATCTTCCATTAACACAGATATTTTATGTTTCAGAGGTTCTCTAAAGGGAATGGATGAAAGAAGATGAAAATGAAAGTAATAGATCTTTTTTTGTGTTTTTCCCCTTTTGTGTTAACTCAAAAGTTCGAGTCCTAGTCTCTATCTTGTGTGCTATTTATCTACTACTAATTTGTGTCAGAACATGGATAGAAGGATTGTATTAACATTCACTATATTTAAAAAGCCTATTAAAATATTAAACAAGATTACATATAAAATGCAACAATATGTGATTATTTATATATTAAAAGAAGTAAATTAAATAATTTGGGGCTAAACTTGGGGTACATCAATTGCATCATCATCCCCCCAACAAGATCTTTTTTCATGTGCATTGCAAGAACAGCAAGAACATCTTGTATGTTTTCGTGTAGATTATAGAGAATTTAGCATAGTGAATGGCATACAGTACAGCTTTATGTTAAAGTCAAACCAAAACATCACAGTGAACCTGAACAATACAGGTTCAGGTTCTATATGTTCTTATAGATTTCTCTAATGGAAAGAACATGTGCGATTTTTCTTGTATTAGTACATTTATCTGCTTATGTTACATATACTGTATAGGCCTCATAAGCATAGGAAATCATAGAATCATAGAAAAGTGAAGTTGGAAGGGACCTACAAGGCCATCAAGTCCAACCCTCTGCTCAGTACAGGAATACAATCAATGCATATCTGCCAGAAGATTTTCCAAGTTTTTCTTGACTGCCTCCAGTGCTGGACCACTCACCAACTCCCAAGGTAACTGGTTCCACTGTCGTATTGCTCTAACAGTTAGGAAGTTTTTCGTGATATTCAACCAAAATCCGGCTTCCTTTAACTTGAGCCCATTGTTGCGTGTCCTGCACTCTAGGATGATCAAGAACAGATCTTGCCTCCCCCCCACCCCCCCGTATGACAGTCTTTCAAATATTTGAAAAGTGCTATCATATCACTCCTCAGCCTTCTTTTCTCAAGGCTAAACATGGCCACTTCTTTCAGCCTTTCCTCATAAGGCTTGGTTTGCAGCCCCCTGATCATCCTTGTCACCCTCCTCTGAACTTGTTCCAATTTGTTAGCATCCTTCTTGAAGTGCGATGTCCAGAACTGGACACAATACTCAAGGTGAGGCCTAACCAGTGCTAAACAGAGGGGAAATAGCACCTCACAGCATTTGGAAACTATACTTCTATTACTGCAGCCTAAAATAGCATTTTATTTATTTATTTATTCATTTACTGGACTTATAGTGCTACAAGCACTCTCCGGGCGGTATACAATTTAATTATACAGGCTACACATTGCCCCCCCAGCAAGCTGGGTACTCATTGAACCCCAGGTTGTGAGCACAGTTTTTAGCTTTTTGTAGTCACATCACACTGTTGGCTCATATTTAGCTTGTGATCTACGACAGTTCCAAGATCCTTCTTGCTCGTAGTTTTGCTGAGCCAGGTATCCCCCATCTTGTAACTGTGCAATTGGTTTCTTTTTCGAAGGTGCAGTACTTTGCACTTATCCCTGTTGAATTTCATTCTGTTGCTTTC